AGGGGGGAAATAATAGGAAATTAGGTAATCAACACTGATACATGAAAAAATCTATCATGCTCCAGTAGGTCAAGAGCCATTAATTAGACAGCATTGTCACAGAATTCCCATTAGTGCTCTTGGCATGTTTTTGATGTGGTGCAAAGATGAAAGCAAGAGGGAAGGAGGGTCAGTGCACTGCAGGATCTGAAACAGCTCACCCTGGAGATGGGGGGGAACAACCCTTTCAAGGGCAAAACACTGGCAGCAAAAACATGTCTGGCAAAGGCGGTGAGCAGTCAATACAAAAGCCTCTTCCTTCCTTCCTGTCACATGTTCTCCTGGATCATAACGAGAAAGCAGACCTGCACCTTCCTGACCCTGGGGACCTGGTCAAAGATGAATCTGTGCAAAAAGCACCACATTCAGTAGCAGGCACAAATTACTGAAGTATCCGTTGCTACATTTACATTTGCAATGTACACTGCTGTCTTGGCCCAAGAATCCCTGACAGATGAGCAGTGGTAAAGATTTAAGTCTCACATTGTAAATTGGGTAAGTGATGTCCTTTGGTAACAGAAGAAATGAATTCAGCCTTGGCAAGATCAGTCTCCTTAGGAAGAAATTAATAGCAACACCTCTGTTTTAAAAGCCGCTGCTTGTTTCTGTTAAGTGTAAATTGTGCTGCTAGTGTTCATGGATGGAGCATGACTCTCTAAAGCTGGTCCTCAGAAAATCAACACATTTGCACAAGTGGCACAAGTGAGAGCACCAAGTGTCATTCATTTATGAGACTAGGCAAAAAAAGCAGAAAGGGCTTTTAAGGGATTAGTACCCAAAGACCCAGAAAGCTGTGCTAGTGCAGCTGCCACTGACCTGCTGCTGCAAGATGAAGTATTGAACTGATATGCCTAAAAGGGTCTAAGTTTTTGCTAAAAGGAGGGAATCTATTGCAAGTTCCCTGTGCAAACACTGATCTTCCAACCAATCTGACACTTAATCCATTACACAGGAAATGTCTACATAATGAGCGAAACTGTTCAATTAGGCTTCAATCTTGCATGCATAGAAATGCTTCATTTCACACTTACATAGTCCCCCAGCTTCAATTACAGCCACAAATTAAGACATGCACCATAGCACAGAGATTTTAGCCAGTCCTTTTAGGTTCCAGTTTGATCACAAGCAACACTGATCACTGTTGAAATACCAAATCCCAGTGGTAACCCTGATACAAATACACATCAAATCTGCCATAACTGGCAGCCTCCACTGAGCCATACTCTGAGCCTTGTAGAGTAATATCATGTAGATTAGCACTAAGATAATATATTTGTATTTCATACTCATTTTATAATAGAGCCCAAAGGCTCAAATCAAGAATAAAGCCTAGTTACTTTTATGTTCTGTGTAAAATGACACACCATACTCCTGTCCTGTCCAGCTCTCTCAAGATGGAAATGCAACAAATGAGGCAACATTAAGGAGGATGGGAAGGATGGAATTAGAGTACCATCGAGTTTTTGGTGATTTAAATGGGTGATACGCATAACTACATAGTGACAAATAAGAAAAGCTGTCAAACAGTGACATTCACTTTTGTATGATTTTTGCTCTGAAGTTGGGAAACTCTTCAACACAAGTCTATTTCTATCTGTGCACATTAGCATCTCAGACTGCAAAATCTGTGATAGTTTAAAAACTAAAGTCCTGCGGTGTATTGTAGGAATTAGTACAAAGAGGACCTTCAGGCAGGCTCTGAGAAGAAAAGTTAGGAGAGTGTTAAAAGCTGCTGGTTTATACATAGCCTCGCTTCCTCCACCAACTCCAGCAAGCAGGAATAATAGGGTAGTGAATAGTTACTTGGTACGATCACACTCGACCTCTTGAACAAATGAAGTGGACAGTTTACAGAATAATTACTCTTTTTTGAAGCTCCACTTAGGTGGTGTCTGTTCATTCCTTCCTGCTGCTGGTTCAGTGCTCCCGCAGCATGGCGAGGTGCTCAGGGTGCTCCGTGTCACAGCAACTGGAACAAGCATCCTGCGCAAGGGGCAGCGAGACAAACACAGAGATGTTGCAGAATAGCTGGCAGCAGCTCCAGTGGGGAAGGGTGGGGACAGCACAGCATGGGAATATTTCAGATGAAAACTAAGGTTTAATTTAAGCTTTACTTCTTGTAATAAATAAAATGGACTTACTTCCTCCGCAGCAACCCATCTAAGCAGACAAGGTCAGAGCATTGTTTGAATGTGAGGATATAGAAGGCTGGTTAAAAAAAAATAACACTCTAGGAACCAGCTTTTGACAATTCAGCAGGACTTTGTTGACATGTAAGGTATGTTTTACAGAACTAGGTCGTTCATAAATGAATTTGTGCAACAGGAATAAAATGACCATGTGAAAAGACATCTTACTGACATGAACAGGCTGGGAAGATGCTTACTTTTTCCAAGGACTTTGTATGATCTCCTGCTTTCTCCCAGTCAAATCCACATTGCCTGTGCCTGGACTCAGGGTCGAGGTCCCAGTCCCCCTCCCTGCTCATGCAGATGCCCCTCCTTCGCCCTGCAGTATGGCTCCTGGCAAACTAAGCTGTGCCACTTTATCACTGTTAATCCAGTTTGCTGTGAGCAGCGTTGCCATCGGACTCCCTCATCAGGCTCCGTACACGCAGAATTTGTCAGGAAAATGTGGTTAGCTTTCTCCCTGCTCTCTTGTGGACCTCCTGCTCCAGCACCGAAGCCTCACATCCAGGCTGGAGTGTGAACTGAGTCCCTGGAGGGATTAGAAAGGGTACTGCATGCACCCCATCTGCCTCATGTGCTTTGCAGCTGATGGCAACCTTCCAACACATTGAAAGTCGGCCCTTAAAAAACCCAACAAAGATATCAAAATGAATGTTTCTACCTGGTATCAACCTTGCCAAGCTTCCCTTTATGGGATGGGCATAGGAAAGTGGTATTTTTGTATCACTAATACATTTACTGTCTTTCATTCATGATCTCTGCAGAAGGTCCCTTTTTGTTCTGTCAACTTCAAAATACACATATGCCAAAAGCAGAAACACCTGACAGCATTGCTTTTATAATTTACCCTGTCAAGGACACAATGCTTGGGATAAGATACAGCCATGGTATCCTGTAGCTATCATTGCAACAGGTTGTCTTGGGAAAACACATCACCCTGTATCCAGCTGAGCCTAGCAGGATGCTAAAGCTCATGCCTTCTGTGGTGCTGCTGTGAGATCTATCAGCTGTGGGTGGATCCAAGTTTCTCAGCTCACTCCCTTCATAGACAATTTCAATGGTTTTATTAGACAAAGCTTTCCTTGTTACAGCAGTGCAGATTTCCTAACCTTTTCATTATCAGTTTGTCTGCTGTATTTGTGACCTGATAGGGAAAGGTGGTCTTCTATTTGACCTACACTGCTACCTCATCCTTCTATAGCAAAGAAAACCTAAACACCCTTATGAAGGAAAAACCTGGGAAAAACAGCACTGACTGACTTTGTCAGTGCATTTAAAATATCTTAACAGAAGTTCCTCTGTAGTACCCTCAGCTTCTGCACAAGGGTGATGTTGTCTTGGTGCTGGGTTAGTACTTCCACCTACTGTATCAAAATCAGCTACTTTCTGCCTCATAAAAAGCAAGGACTAAGAAAGCATCAGTTTGCCACAACTGGACAGAGGAAAAGTAAGTGAGAGATCAAAAGCAGAACTAATGCTTAGTGCATTAGAAACAGATACATTTCTCATTAAAGGTAATTTAATCAATGGACTGGCTCAAAACTGAGTGGAAGCCGCTCCATCCTTCGCCTTGCCTGTACCGCGTTTCACTCCAGCCATGGTCTGGGTGGCAAACACAGCATGAAAGAGATGACAGAAATTTCAATCAAAAAACCTGCTGGGGCAGTGGATGTTAAGAGCAAACATGCACCATTCACCTAACACTGACATGAGCCCTGCACCTCCAGCCAAACACTGTGAGGTTACTGTCCATTCTCACTAAGCTACAGAGCACCACTGGAACACAGCTGTGGGGTGTTCCCTGTTCCTCCTGTACCCCACACGTAAACACCATGAGAAGGGAGGGCAGGGCAGGTCTTTAACGTTCAGCAGCCAGGCACAAAATGGTCTGGGTCCATGGCAACTACCATAAAGGCATCAGGCACAACGAAATTTGGCCAGATTGCCTCTTTCGAGCTAAGCCACAAATTGAATCGTAGTGACAGCAGGTCTGAATTATCTAACCTCAGCAACATTGCTCAGGGGTGAAGTCAGACAAAACAAAGGCTTTACAAGGCCCTGAAGGACAAGGACTTTAATTACATTCACATAGAGAACACACACACAACCTTTTTCAAAGCAGGGCTTTGCCTTACGTGTGCCGGCCCAGGCCTGCTTACTGCAGGGGTACTGAGGAGGTGGCTGTCCTCAGTACTCCAGCATCGCAGTTGTTCCAGGCTGCTTGAACTGCTTGGTGTTGCACGAACCATGCCCGGGACTGCCTGCTCTGGGCGACGGGATCCAATGTGTGCTTGTTCCCATGTAACTAGATGAAATACTGTTGAAACTTGGGGGCTGACCCCAGGATGAAACGGGAAGCCCTCAGCTGCACTCCTTCGTGCAAAGGTCACCTGAAAGCCCTCCTTTATACTCCCTTCCCTCATCACCGACAGCCCTGTCCTTTGTTTAACACTGCCATTAACACCCGGTTTATCTTATCGGACCCAGAGCCAAGTTCCACACCGCGGCGTGCACCCGCGCGGAGCAGGGCGGACACGGGACGGCTTCCAGCTCCACGGCAAAGGGCGTGTGGGGCGGCGGGAGCCCCGGCACCTGCTCCCCCGCCGGTACTCGCTGTACTGCCCCCGGGGCACTGCAGCCGCGCCCGGCCTCGGAGCAGCTCCAGGTGCCGGGGCCCAGTGGGTGGGACCACTGGACTCAACCCCAACCCCGGCCCCGGCCCCTCTGGGCAGCCGTGAGGCGGGCGGGCCGCCCGGCGGGGCTGGAGGAGGTGCCGTTTGCACAAGCCCGGCCCCTCGCCGCAGCCTGGCTTGGCGGCGCTGGCCGCTCCCGCTCCCCCCCGCCCGGGCTCTTTGTCGGCGGGGGGCCGCGGCGCCATGTCCTCCCCCAAGAACGGCTTCTACCGGCAGGAGATCACCAAGACCCTCTGGGAAGTGCGGGACCGCTACCGGGACCTGCAGCCGGTGGGGTCCGGCGCTTACGGAGCCGTCTGGTGAGCGCGGCGCGGCGGGACGGGGCGGGACACCCCGAGCGGGGTGAAGGGGCGGCGGGCGCCGCGGTGGCCTCTGCCCGGGGGGACGCTGGTCCCGTCCCGCCGCTGCCCTGGCTCGCGTTGTTCCCTGACAACTTTCCCGGTGGTTGCTCCTGGCCCGGCCCCGCCGCCCACCTGGCTGCCCCCAGCCGGTCCGGGGAACGCAGCCGGGGGAGCGCAGCCCTACGCGGAGCAGCCGGCTGCGGACCGCTGCCAGGCACACGGCTCTTGTCCCGGAGCAAGCAGAGCCCGGGGCGCTGCCCTGCCCTGCCCTGCCCGAGTAGTGCTGCCCGCGGGGTGCGGCCCCGCCGAGCGGCAGCGTCCCCAGAGTCCGGGGTGCGGGTCCTTGGGACGGGACACCAGGACTGGGTTTGTGTTGGTGCTGGGTTTGTGCAGTTTGTGGGGTTTCAACTTTTCTTTCCCTTCTGCGTTATTTTTTTCTTCCTTCCCAGATGTTCCTCTTTAAAGCCTTTGAAAATTGGCTAACTTTTCATCGCAGGGCCTGGCAGCTTCTTAAACGAATGAAACTATAGATGCAGGATGCTTCAGGCGTGGTGGTCCCCTCCCTGGGCCAGGGAGGCCTCGCAGGCACCTGGCCGAGTGCTGGGCAGTGTGGGCAGGATGCGGCCTCGTTTCAACCCTTGCTCACGAAGCTCTGCCTTTTCCCTTTAAAGCTCAGCCGTGGATGGGAGAAGTGGCACCAAAGTGGCCATTAAGAAGTTGTACCGCCCGTTTCAGTCTGAACTCTTTGCCAAACGTGCCTACCGAGAGCTGCGCCTCCTGAAACACATGAAGCACGAAAACGTGAGTTGGGTTGTTAGCAGATATTTCCCCTCAGGGCTGCGGCTTACTCTTCCTAAAAACAAAATATGTGTATTTGGACAAGACAGATGTGTAGCTGAATGGAATTCAGGAATCTTTTGGCCTGTCTTTTGTCTATCCTTCATCCACAAACATCAGCTCACACAAACTAGAATATCCTGTGGGAAACACCACTTCATTTCCATGTAGGAAAGGTTGGGTGGGGAAGGTGAGGACCGTGGTGGGATTTGTGCTCAGGGCCATTGCTAGAGATATGAAGGACCAGAAATTATAATCTCCATCACTGTGTTCCTGTGAGGTGCAGGAGAGTGCAGAGCATGGGGCAGTGCCTGTGGGTCTCTAGTGCCAGCACCTCTTTTTGCACTTGGATATGGCATGTGCATATCTTTGGGAAGGGGTAGGGCTTTTCCCTTTTCTTTTTAACAGTTAGTGAAGCATTTGGAAGTTTTGGCTTGTACTAATGTGAAACTGGAAAATTTCATGAATGACCAAATAAATTGCTTTACTGGGCAGTGGAGAATAGGGTACAGAGCTCTGCACAGATTCCCACGTAATGTGATAGAACAGCTGTAGAGAGAAGTGTTGAAAGTGTCATTGAGATACAGATGCTGAGTCCCAACAGCACTGAGCGGTTTAAGAAAAAAAGGAGGTTTGTGTGAAAACAGCTTTTGTGGAATCAGAACATGGATACCAGGAGAGAAAGGTCCCAGGGTGAGCTTGGAAGATCCTGGATCCCAGCAGTGGCTTTAAATGCTTCTCATGAAGAATGCATGTGGAAGAAAAGAGAGTTTCGATTGAGTTCTTAAAATGATGCATAAGAATCTGGTTTAAGATGTTAATAATTTGGGACATTACACATAGCTCCATTCAGATGGTCTTCAATGGCTAGGAGATTGGAAGTGAGGATGAGAAAAACTGCTAATTACAATAACCAGTCATTGCCACCTAATGTTGTAGTGTTAACATTGTGAGCAACAATAGCATTTAGGTTTGTTTTGAAGAATAATCTGTGGGATATCCTGACTGTCCAGAAAAAAACAGCCCTTTTTATAGTTTTACGAACCTTTGTGCTGGTTAACATTTTAGTCTGAATCTTTTAATACATTTGATTATTGATGATTCCTTTGAATTAACTGCTTCATAACCACACCTATGTATATATGTTAATGAGTTAACATTTGCAGGGAACTTCTGTGTAATGCATGGGCTTTCCTACTCTCAGCATTTTCTTTACTGAGCATTTGGGAGGAGAGCAGCTCATGAAGTTGCCAAGCTCCTGACTGTGTCCAGACTTTGAGATTATTTTTCTTCCATTTCCCAGAGTGATCTGTTGGGTCACATTTTCCACTCCTAGCAGTTTTTATGTGATGTGTGCCCGTCAGGATAATACTCTGGAACCCCTCCATGGACTCATTTGGTAATTAGAGAGTCTAGAAGAAAATGCTCACTGAGGAGCATGAGCACAATCTGTAAAAGTCACAAATCAATATATATGAGGGAAGGGAATAATTTACAGCCTTAGGAAACAGTTGGGCCAGGAAAAGAAGAATCTGGTCTACGTACTAAGGAAAAGTTTTACCATGGAGTATGACATCTACTCATTAGAGAACAAAGACTGAATAAATGATCCTGCAGGGGTTTGTGGGCACTGGAGACAAGCTGAATACTCCACCCATCCATAATGAGGCTGACATGGGTGGTACAGCCCATCAAGAGAATTTCCATCTGCCATCCCAGCCTCACACCCTTCTGTCAGTTGTTTTGCCCACAATGAGTTAGGAATAGCAACAAAACCTGTTAGGATGTCTAGTCTTTGGGCTGATCTTAGGATACTTCTTTAGCCGTTCCACACATCCAAAATTAAACCAGAATGGCAATGTCACTCCTTGTCAGGATTTTCAGCCCCCTCTTTCACCCATTCTGTCAAAAAGCCTCTTTTTTGCGTATTTCCACCAAAGGCTGGATTTACAGACAGACAGTAAGGTCCTCCCCCACTCACATCAGCAGTCCACAGTGTGCTGTGCACACCTTTAATGATAAGTACAGCAATGGTAGGACCTTTGTCTTTTCTCTGTCATTACCATCATGGCTTCTGTAGGTCTAGCAATGGAGTTTAGAATGGGTCCCACTATGGTGGATGCATGTCTCCCACTAACAGGAATTAGTAGAACAGAACAATGATTGGTGTATCTTTCCCAATATTTCTATTAACTCACGTGTTATAATTCTACGGAATAGCAGTAATTGATCTTTCTGACTGTACTATAAATACAACTGCTATTAAAAATTAATAAAACTGAGCTAATTATTTCAAAGATCACAGTAAAATAGTACTGTGCCACTGTTCTCTCTGTATTGGGTGTTGGTAATCTTAAGTATGTAGAGATACAGAGAGCTATGTACGTGATAGCTGGTCTGACAGCAGTAGTGGCAATAAGTGGCAATAGCCACTGTGGATTAGACTGGTTATTGATGCACGTTGCACTAATCAGCCAGTACAAATCTTCATCTTGCCTTCTTCCTACTTTGGGATATAAACTGTTTCAAAGGTTCTTTCATAGTTAAAATTACATTTAATATGCTCTTCTGCTCTTTTCTTTCAAAATTACTTCTGTAATCATGATGCATTTGCTGCTAGATTGCATAAAGAGTGTGGTGTTTTGTTTGTTTCACCTTGATTACTTCTGGGTGGACCATCTGTGCCTTTCATAGCTTTCATAGGAGCATAGGAAGTGTTGTGTTAAGCATGTAGCAATACTTTATCATATTTTATTAACCTTATGCTGTATTCACAATTTCTTCCATCATTTTAATGGTCTGACACATTGTGTTAAAAATAGCATTTCTGATCCTCCATTAAGGTGGCAGGAGATACCATTAAACCCATGCCACGGTGGTATAATTCATCAGCTTGTCATGCTTCAGTGAGGAAAATGGAGGAAAACTTCAGCTTAATGCCCTGGATGGCTTCCATTACAGACCCTTTGAGGAATATGCTTGTCTCCTTAAATGTGGAAGGGTTGTAGGATGACCTGTAAAAAATATACAGGAGTCACTCTACTGAATTATACTGGAACTGTATTTTACCTTGTAAGGAAGGTAACTCACGAGTCAATTTGCTTGTCTATGTAGGTGTTTTCAGGAGGAGGCAAGTCTGGCTGCTGGCGTGACCAACTTTCATTATGTGTGATAGATTGTAGATCTCTCTAATGGCTCTCAAATGGGACATTACTTAAATGTAGTGAGGAATATTTCTGTATAAACAACACAAACTTGGTTGCATGGGAATTCTCATCAGCCCTTTGCTAACAAATCCAGAGGAGAAATTGTGTTGAGGACCACAGAGCAGAGGCTGTGCATGAAGAGAACAAGACCTGGCTGTTAGGAGATAGATCGTTGTCTTTCATGACACTGGTATCCTTTCTTTTTGGTAGGCCTCCTAATTTGAGGTGCTCGGAAGAATGTTTCACAAACATAAGCTACTTCTACTGCCTCAGAAGCAGGCTAATCAAGATCAATTCCTCAGACACTGCCAGCAAGTAAAGTTAGTTTCCAGCAGGAAAAGCTGCCGGGTCACTCTGTAGCTGCATAAACAGATACTCTGCCACAAGAGAGGGGATGATTTGAAAATGAGGAGTAAAACCAGCCAAGGCAGAATGTGTTTGGGGTGTTTTTTGTTTTGTTTATTCATACTGGCTTGAAGTATTTATCACACTAAACCTTAGCAGCTTCTGATTATTTCTTTGGCATCGCTGCATCTTGTATAGAACAGACTGTTTACCATTAGGAAGTTTTATTCAATAGTGCTGCTTTTGTTCCCTGTTTCTTTCCATTTTGAGTTCAGGTAGAGCAAAGACCCTTAAACTATGCAGGAGGAGTTTGTTATAGAGAAAATAGCAGGGCACTCTGTGTTTTGTTGCCTGGCAAAATCTTAAAACTGTCCCTTTTTTCAGTTCCTCTTGCCTGACGTGAGCATTGGAAGAGCAGCAGCCGCTGCAGTGTACAAAATCAAGGGGGTTGTGAGTGATGCCTTTACAGATGAAAGCACACTCACTGTGTTAGGTTTCCCACAGCAAGCCCTGCAGGACTGTACTGCTAAAAATTCATGTGCTTGGGGTATGTAAGTGCCAGTAAAGTGGAATTTGGAAATCCTGGCTGGAGATGGCAAATGTCCTTTATGGGTGCTTTTGAAAGCAAAAATAGTTATAACTGGATAGTTTATTGTTGTCCAAAATTTGTAGGGGAAAAACATTCCTGGCTGATTTCCTGTGGGCTGACACCAGAGTCACTCATTTTTGTACTCAAAAGCCAATAGATTAACATAATAGTATTGGTTGTCACTTCTGTTTATTTTCACAAACCAACCAAATAGGTGTTTTACCTAGGCTGGGCTTCGACTGACACCCCAACCTTGGGTACTAATAAGGTAGGCTGATTAGTCCAGTAAATGAAAATCTACTGGAAGGAAGACAGCACTGAATCTGAAAGTTTCTCTTTGGATTGCCATCTAGTCCAGAGATGAACATGTGTTGGTCCATAGGATTTGGATCTGTCCAGTGTTACATATGGGTCTTTTGAAAGAAGAGTGTGATGGTACTCATGGGTACACCTTGCACCTGCCTGTGTGCCAAATGGCAGGAGAAAAGGAAAGGAGCTGTCAGCCCAGCAGTCATCCCTTGTGTCATGCAGCAGTCATCAGTGAGGAAGAAAGGCTGTGGTGCACGCCTTGCACGTGGATAGTTAAAATTCTAGAAAGATTGGGACTTTGTGGTGCAGTAAAACCCTGTGATGCGGAACAGCTCAGAAACGCAAATTTGAGCCTAACCCTGCAGGAAATGTATTGTAGCACAATATGTAGTTCAGTGTGCCCCAGCAGGGATCTTTCTCAAAAAACATACTTGCACTTGTAGCGCGAGTGCCAAAGCCAGTCAACTTCACTGTGTTTTCATGCGTAACACCCACAAGAGAAAGCAGCACTTGCTATATAAGAGACATAACCTACGTTTACTTATTAATTTATACAAGACCCAAATTTTTCACTGATGTGCTGATGCTTACATCTGAAACTTTCATCTACAGAAGTGCAGTGGAACAGTCCTTGAATGAAGGTAATCCATTACGTGAAAGCGCAAGGGAAGATAGAGATGAGGAGCACTTTGCTCTTGTGCTCCGCCTCTGGAATAACATTTGGAAAAGCTGAGATGGGAAAGGCAGAAACTACCATCCAACAAAGCTGTTATTTATTCGTTGACAGTAGTTAAAGTTGGTCAGGGTAATTTGTGTGAATGTCCTGGGAGGGTGGATGGACAATAAGGATTAGAAGAGCTAGAGATACTGCCACCCATCACCCACTGGCTTCATAGGGAAGACCTACAATCAACAGAGTAAGTATGTTGAGTAAAACCATACCTATGGAAAGCAAGTTAGATCAGTATATGGGTAGTTTTGGTATTACTGTGGTTTTGCTTTGCAGGAAAATGGGAGAGACATAGTATTACACTCTCTCCTTGAGATACAAGTGAGGAGGGAGCAAAGTCCAGGTTGTTTTCTGTGTGTCCTTTGTGGGCTTATTCATTTGAGAAATTGCCTTTTGGCAGAGCTAATGAGGGAAAAAAATGAGACCCTGAAAGGGCAGTGTTCCTGCTGGTTTCCACAGATGCTTTTCATTGCCATCACAGAATGCACTGGGTTCATTCCTTGGCTGCGCTACTGTCTCTGATGAATGAATACCAAAAATAGATCTACAGACGGTTTCACAGATACTTCCGTTACATTTCGTATAGGCCACGCTATGAAAAAGAAGTTATTCTTGCAGTTGTTTTGTTGTGGCTTCCTTTTTTTGCTGGGGCATTAAGTATTGCAAAGATTTTTTTCCAAACACTGTATTTAATTGAGAGCATTTTAGACAGACACAGGATTTTGCATGATATTATGTATTGGGGGGAGTTTCCTACACTTTTTCCAGTTCTTTTCCTGAAGAAGTATCTGGAGTTGTATCTTTCTTAAAGGATTTATTTTACCCTGTACCTCCTTGTGCTTAATGTATCTGCAGAAAACTGTGACCTAAATGGAAATACTCATGACTCTGTTCCAGTACAGGAAAATCATCCTAAGCACAGCTATTAAATAAAGATTACTGAGGAAGAGGAAATGGGTCCCTCGCTTTCGTTTTAAAATTGATTAACTATTGGTATGTCTTCTCATTTTTGGGCAGTAAAACAGATTTCAGGATTTTTAGAAAGCTTGCTTTGTAAAGCAAGAAAAGAAGGATTGTGAGACCCTTGGCATGTTAACAGAGTTTTCTGGTTCATTATTTAAAATTCCCTTCAGCGGAAGCTGGGCATTGGTCTCAGTGGTATCCTTCACTGCTGAGGTTTTGCAGCAATGATAAGCTTGTCTCCATGAGTTTGCAGCCTTACCTCAGAAGTAATGTATGTTGTGTATCAGGCAGCACTAAGTAACTGTTCACTTGCATGGTGAAGCAGTAAAGTGTTACTGAACTTCATTAAGAGTGTGTTGGGGCTGGTATGTTCTTTATGAAAGCGTGTTCTTTGTGCCTCTGTATTTCACTACGAGTGCCTAATGCCTTGGTGCACAGATGAATGTAGTGCAGTGGTCACGCTGTTGTCATCCTCTTCTGTGTCCCTTGTTTTACTGTGGCGTCCCTGTGGCTTTCGCTGTTAAATTCAGACCTGATGGGGTTTATTTTTGTATGTTTCCTGTTAAGGTAAACGAAGGCATGGAAATACCTCCACGAGGGGAACCAAGCAGGACTTCTGAAAAAGTGGGCCTTGATAGGGAAGGAAATGCATATTGAATAAGATTGCTGCTAAAACATTAACCTCCTTCTTTTTAATACTGAAATCTGAGGAGAGCACACAACTTTTCTGGCTGTGTGTTCTTTGTGTGTGTTTACATGCTGCCTTAGGAAATGCTCATAGAGCTGCATTATACTTCCTTTTTGTCACATACATCTTCCTAACCCTGCTCTCCTCCCTTTCTCTTCCTGCCTCCACATAGAAATGGAAAACTTTATTGTAAAACTGTCATGCAAAAAACTAAGAAAATAATTTATTGCTATAATATTAGTACTGAAAGTATTATTTCAAATAATAACCACATTCTCTGTGGGTTTAATTATTGTTTTATGTTGGTTATAGTATTCTTCTTAATTAGTTTAATTTAACAGTCCTTGGGTAAATATTATTAGTGACTTTTTCAAATATAATTATGGCTACAAAGAAATAGAGTTGTAATTTTCTGTCTTCATCTTTATTAGTTTTTCTGTCTTGTTCATCATTATGACATTATGGTAATACCCAAGCTAACTGCAGTAGTTTGCCCTGAATGTGGAAAGGCTAAAAATCTGTGCAGTAGGGATTACATCACTGGCTAGGTGACTAGCATTTATGACTGCTTCGGGTTATGAACTGATTTGTCTGGTTCATTTTTGACACTTCAGTGGTTAAAGTTAAAAGATGCTCTCTCTTACATAAGACTGTCAGCCTCTGAACTTCCCATTCAAGTAAATACATGTTTATTATGTTTTTTTATCACAGGGTCAGCAGCCCTCAGAGTTACAGAATTAGACACACAACAGGTCCTGGTGTTGCTAGGCACTGCTTTAGGTATACATTCTGCCATCTTTATGCCTGTAGATAATGCTTCACGATAGAAATATTTTTGATTATATTTTTTCACTTATTATGCAGTTCAGGATTTTTTGTGTTAAATCAGTATTAATCCATGCTGGGTTTCTTTTTTTCTCTCCTTTTATTTCTAGGTCATTGGAATATTAGATGTGTTCACACCAGATGTAACACTGGAGAAGTTTAATGATTTGTAAGTTCTGAGATGTTTGTGTTTGGAAGGAGGGCAGCATTGCTTTTGTGGGAGGAAGGGTTGCTGGTTTTTTATCTATAAGATGTGTACTGCTTTCAGGCCTTAATAAGTGAAACTTTAATGGATTTCCTAGTTCACCTTTCAAGTATTGATTTTTCAACCAAAGACCCAGGTTGTTCAAATGGTAGGATAATTCTTAAGCAAAACAAGTAGGCTGAAAATGATGCCTGCTGCATGACATGTCTGTGATCCATTCTAATGCTAGGATTAATTCAAAACTGCTGATGCTGCCAAATTTGTTTAGTGATTATCTGTACTGTGATCTGTTGTACTCCCTTGACTGGTTTCCCAGTCCAGTGGTCCAAACAGCACATGGTATAGGCTGTTCCTAGCACCAGCCACGTACCTGACCTTTTGGCAGCATCTCAGATACTTAGCATGTCTGCTGCTTTGCTTATGGATCCCACTACAGTTCTCGTGCATTGGAGTCATTAGAGAAACAGTGGTTACAAGTTCTATTTGGCTTAATGTAGATTTCATGTTACATTCCTAGAACTGTTCTGGATTTCATCTAATGTAGCTATGTTTCGGAACTAACCTTGCATACTGTTAACAAAGAAAGCTATCTGACTGGAATATGAAGGACAGAAAACAGGGAGCATGTGTTCATATTGATCCTTTGGGCCAAAATGATCATTGAGCCAAAAAGGTTGTTGTTCATATTGCCAATTGTGCTAGCCTTTTATACAGCATATGTAATAGAATGCACATCTACCTTCAAGCACTGTTTTAAATGGGACCCTAAAATAACCTTTTGAGTTTTAGAGGTGCAAGTCAAGTAGGATGGACACTTTTATATCAGAAACTGCAACAGGTGAGCCTGTGGCGGAATTTGCTTTCAAGACTTTGGGCAAGCTGATACTGGTGAGCAGAGATAGAGGTGTGTACATTTAAAACAAAAGTAGAGAAACTGTTTCTGTGAAATGACCGCAAATGGGTCATTTAAGGGAGACTTTCTTTTTGCTGACTAGTCATGAGATGTTGTCTGTGGCCTACTATATAAATATCAAGTTCAAGTGGATTTATGGCTAGAAGCAGCAGAAACATTGTGGGAGGTTTCACCAGAGCCAGTCACTAAGTTTGGTCTTGTCCGACACCTGGGGTTTCTTAGCTGACTTATAGCCCTCCTGCCTGGAGAGGAGCATGCTCATACTCAACTGTCCACTCTGCTCTCCTGCTCCTCTATTCTAACAGCCGGTGTTAATGAAGATTGAACTCAAAGTCCTGTCTAGGAAGGAACAGTCCTTTCCATGCTCATGTTTGTGTTGAACTTCCTTCAGCTTTAGATGTTGCTGGTGTACAAAATCAGAAATGTATAAATCTGTACCAGTTCGAGTTCTACTCTATGCTTTTCACCCCCTTCATCTCTTATTCTTTGCATTATCCATGCTTGTGTGATACATGATGTGCCAGAACAGGCTGCTGGTCATCGTTTTGTAAGAATTTTGGGTTTTAACTAGAAATTGCAAAAAACTTAATTGCATTAGGCATGATATTCCAGTTGAAATGATTTGTTAATCAGGTGTCTGACCTTTTCAGATTATTTGAGGACTCCAGCTATGGATTCTAAATACTTTTTTAATAATAAAAGTAAGTTTGCGAAGGTTCAAGTAGTAGACAAAGTGTTTAAAGTGAGCCCAAAGTGTTTGATCCCATTGTTGTTCTGTTCCAGTGGTGCTCATAAATTATTACTAAAGTTTGGATTTTAAAACTCAGCCAAAAGTGGATTTTTCCTCTCTTCTGCTTTCTTTGTTTTTCCACCCACCCACATTTGACTGCAAGAAATTTTAAGTCATCAATTTGTAAACTTAGCAAATTGTGCTTATGTAAAAATGTTGTCTTATTTATGCTTCTCATTGTGTTCTTCGCAGTGCTTAATGTTTAGCTATTGCTTTGAACCAAAGTAGATAGAAACAGAAAACTGGAGGGCAGGGCGATGATGGAATTGTTTGGTAAACAGAATGATCTGTAATTTAATATTGTCACTGAACTATAACATACAATTATGTTTCAATTTATTTGACAAATTAATGTTATTCTGGCTTTGTTTTGGTTTTAAGCTACCTTGTCATGCCATTTATGGGAACAGACTTGAGTAAGATAATGAAGCATGAGAAACTAACTGAAGACCGAATCCAGTTCCTGGTATATCAGATGTTGAAAGGCTTAAAGGTTTGCTGCTTCTATTATTATTTTGATTTCACAATCTTTTTTTCCTAGTAAATCATTATGGAGAGCTAGAAATACTTATCCTTTGATAGCAGGGTAAACTTTACTATGCCTGGCATAGTAAAAGCAGTGACATTCTACACAGCAGTTGTTTAGTGGCAATAAAAGTTATCGGGGGAGGGAAGGTGTTGTGTTAATTATGGTTTTGTCTGTGGCTTTTTCAAGCAAAAATAAAAGCTATTCATTCAAGATCTGTACAGTACGTTGATCCAGGGTGGCCTTGGTTTCTGTATCTGAGTACACCAGAAAGTGCCTGCTGTGATTTGTAGTTGCCTTCTTCCCCAGCAGTTGGTTGTGGTAGTGCTTTGCCACACACACCTCTTACTGTGGCTGGTTGGAGAGGTAGAGACTATGAATTAAACCACTGTTGAGTTCAGAGGCAGGATTCCCCTTGGCTTGATCCCTCACCTACGTCATCAGCTTCAGATTTCTGTCATTTGAAAATGTTTCTGTGGCTTACCAATACTGATGTGATGCACTGTTACACAAGACATCTGCACCTAACTTGTTCTAAGTGTGGTACGTGTCCGTGCACATGCGGAGGGCAGACCCAACAGCTACAGCAAAACAACATAGATTTGAATGTTACTGACCCGCACAAAGATGATTCTAAACGCATAAGCTGTCATATACTTTGTATGGTTTTCTTCTTCATCTTTCTGCTGTTTATTATTGCTACTACTCTTTTCTTCTGTTTGGGTTTTAAAAGATGGATTGTGATTTATTGAAGTTCATAACTTAGAAAGAGAAGATACTCTTTAAGTGCTCCCTGTCCATGTACAACCTGTATTAATGTGATATAAAAATGCTTCTAAGTCTAGATTGGCACTACAGTGCTTCATGGTTTACAGTGTTTGCTTTTTGGGTGTACACAACTGTTCATCATGAAAAGGCTACGACTTCTTTATTACGTTTTTATTTTGGTGACACAATTACAAGAGAAGAACCTTGACCTTGCCCTGCAGGCTTCAGCCAGGCTCTCTATAGTGATGGCTGTTTAATTCCCTTTGCTGCTCTGGAAACACGTGTTGTAATGAGGCCATGGAATGGCACTGTCAGGAACTGAATGTCATTCCTTGGCTGCTTGCACCGTACAGTTTTGATTTTACGGTCCTGTGCCTGCAACATACAAAGAATGGGAAGACTTTCCTCTGCACTCATACAGGGATAAGTGGACTCACTGTACTGGAAGGTGGGTTGCAGGGGGATGTGCTCTTGCAGTGGAGATACAGAGATGCTTTTGATACAGGAAGATCCGACACATCCATCAGGATGATCTTTCAGATCTATATTTGCATTGCAAAACACTATTAAAAATGAATAATATCGTAGGACAGCATGCTGTTCCTGGACAAAAACATCAGGAAAAGCATACACAAGACTCCTTTGTCTCTCAGTACTTAATAGATGCAGAAGATCAAGTAAATTGTTTTACTCCCTTTACAAATCTTAGTAAATATACTTTGTTGTTGAGTCCTGCATTATTAATTTGTCTTTGACCTTATCTCAGATCTTGTGTTCTTCATTTAGTAGACATTAATTCACATAGCCTTTTACATATGCTAAGTAATTATTCTTTTTATGCTACAATTGTGCATTTAAATGCTGTAATGCCCATTTTACAACTGCAGAATCTAAAGCCAGGTTTGGGGAAATTGGCTTTATTTAAATGGGAGGGAATTCACCTTCGAGCTTTAAATCTGGAATTACGATTTCAGTTTTATAGTTCCCTAATTACAAAGCCACATCCTAATAAGTGTTTTCTCAAGGACAACATAAGTAGAGCGGCCTGTTTAGTTGCAGATAACTGTCTGGGAAACAGGTTTATAGGAGAAGTGTGCTATTCACCAGAGATTTAAAACATCTTTTGGGCTGATTTTAGATGCAAGCAATATATGAGCTGTAGAAAAATAGCTTGAGTTGAGTGTAGTGGGTAGGATGAATAATGAATTTCATTTCAGTGAAATGGCTTAGAAACATATTTTGGTCCCAGTGGCCTAGATTATCTCAGAGACCAAGAGTGGTGTTTGCGGGTCCCAAAGGTTGACTGAAGTCTGTTGGGTCAGTAGATGTGGAAGGCAAGCAGAGCAGACGTGCATGCTTGACCTGCATCTGAAGAAAACAGAGCAGGAATTAAAGAGGATGCGTTGGCTTTGTGTGGCAGGTTTGGTAGTGAGGGCTGCAGGGGTGGCTTCTGTTGAAAACACCAGGACCTGCCTCTGTCTCGGACAGAGCCAGTCCCAGCTGGATCCAGAATGGATCTGGCAGTGGCCAAAGCCGAGCCCAGCAGCAGTGTTCATCGCACCCTTGTGATAACAGGTTTAAGGAGCGGTAAAAAACACTGTGCAGCAGCTGTGAGAGAGGAGTGAGAAAATGTGAGACACACAGCCCTGCAGGCACCAAGGGCAGTGAGGAAGGAGGAGGTGCTCCCAGTGCTGGAGCAGAGATTCCGCTGCAGCCCATGAAGAAGACTGGTGGCACGGATTGACCCCTGCAACCCATGGAGGACCATGTCAGAGCATATATCCACCTGTAGTGCATGTAGGAACCCATGCTGAAGCATAGGGATGTGCCTATGGGCAGCCAGCATTGAAACAGACTCCTGGCAGGTTTTGTGGCTTGACCTGTGTCCCACGGGGATCCATGCTGGAGCAGTCTGCTCTGGAAGGACTGTACCCCATGGAAGACTGGAGCAATTAATGTAGAACTGTCTCCTATGGGAAGAGCCCCATGCTGGAGCAGGGAGAATGAGGAGGAAAGAACAGCAGAGACAATGTGTAACGAACTGACCACATTACCCATTCCCTGTCCCTCTGCACCTCTTGGGGGGAAGAGGTAGGAGAGACAGGAGTGAAATGGAGCCTGGGAGGAAGAGAGTGGAGGGGAAAGGTGTGTTGAGTTTTGAACTGTTCTGTTCTGTTAGTAATTGGCAATGAATTAATCTTCCCTAAGTCATGTCTGTTTTGCCCATGCTGATAACTGGCGAGTGATTTCCTTGTTCTGATCTCAACCCACAAGCTTTTCCATTGTACTTTCTAACCCCTACCCTTCTGAGAAGGGCGAATGAGAGAGTAACTCAGTGGGCACTTGGTCAATCTTGGTGGGTTGACCAGCCAAGGCAAACCCACCACGAAGAAAAGAGCAGGAAGTTCCTGATGTTCCCTGCTGTTCCCAGGCTCTTATAAAAATGAAAGTAGTTCTTATTCCAGTTACAAGGCAATCAGCAGGGATGCTGGGATGGTATTAGTTAATTGGTATCTCTGGTCTCTAACCCTGTTACATCTTCTGTACGGAGTAATTCTTGTGAATATTTTGTTTCTCTCTCCTCATTTTGGAGAGCGTAACTGTACTTACCTCAAAGTTACCAGCAGGAAATAAGACATTATTCAGCTACTGGACTGTTCTTTTGTCATTTCCTATTGCACAGCAAACATTAAAAGAGTCTTTAATGTATCTGTTCCATTAAAGTTTGAATTCTTCTTGAACCAATTCATCCAGCCACAACAATACACCTAGTTGGAAATATCTTTAAGAAACAAGAATGGTTCAGTGCTTCAGGGAGATTCTTGCAGCACTGTCTGTGCTAGGAGGTGAGTTAAGCTGAAAGCAGTGTTGCTATCATGCAGGGGAAAAAAGAAAAGGGCTCAGTAATTTGTCCTTTTTCAGCTATCAGAAGTTAGCTGTTAAAGAAACTCTGCCAGGTTTTGCATGAAAATCCTGTACTTTCTGAAGTCTGCTGTACACAGTGCATCTGTGTTTACTTAGATTGCCTTTTTGTCAGGGCAGGGGAAACCGAGCATGCACACAGGTAGCACTCTGTTGAGGCATTGTAAGGGAAAAATGCAGTGCCTGGGAAGGAGGTTCTGTAGACCTGTGTTGTAAAACTTTCAACTTCCCAAGCTTAACCTCTCTTTTTTTCTTCCGCCTTTTAGCTTTGATGGACTCTATTGGGCTGGGGGTGGGGTGTTGGTACTACCTGCGATAGGCATTTGTCCATTTTGTAAAGTACATAAGCACTTTATAGAATGGTTTGGGTTGGAAGGGACCTTAAAGCTCATCCGGTTCCAGCCACCTGCCCTGGGCAGGAATACCTCCCACTAGACCAGGTTGCCCAAAGCTCCATCCAGCCTGGATGAGGCTCATTTTTTTGGTGAGCCTTGTAATTTATCAGAATTTAACTTCATCTGTGATAGGGAAAAACTGTGATTTGACACCACTTACAAACAATGAGGTGCCTCTGCTTTGTCTGTTTCTTAGCCAAGCATTAGGCTGGTATTAAATTTGTTTAAGTGTGAATTTGCAGCTTGGAAGGTTTTTCATCATTTTATTTGTTTGACATAAGAGCTGTGTACTGTCAAAGAGTACAGAAGGCAAGCTGAGCAGAAATGTCTCTATGTGGGGGGAAAGGGTTGGAGCTTCCACTGCTTTCAGTCTTGGGTCCTTCTTCTGCAGGACTGCCAGTCAGGTTCCTGTTGGTGGAGGTTGGGGAGGTGGGTAGCAGCCCTGTTTTCTTATGTGTTCGGTATTTGAGAAGGGATGGGTGGCTCTTGGGCCATACAGACACCTGTTCAAGCCTCTTTTGCCACACTCAGGGTGATATTTACCTGCTCGAGTTATCCCCTTTTCAAATCTCTATTTGGTTTTTTTGGTTCATATTTTTGTTTGTTCTTTTTACTTCTCTGCTTTCGCTTCCTGCTCTTACACGTTTCCTCTTTGGTTTTTCCTTCCCTGCCAAGTCACTCACCATTTTCATTTTGCATGCTGCGTGGAATGCTTTCTCCTGAGTCTCTTCTAATTCCCTTTCTATTAGTTTTTTTATTTTGTGCAGAGATTGCATATGCAGACAGGAATGCTTAGAATTTAGACAACTGTTGGATAACTTCCTAGCACAATCTGAAGCTTGCATTCAAGGATTTATGCCTGCTACCAAAAATTGTCTTTAGGATAGTGCACAGACCTCCTATGCTCGAGGCACTTTACTCACATTAACTGGGTTTTTGAATCAAATATTGTTCAGGTGAAGTGGTAGTAACATATTGTGAGGAATATGTCTGCACTGCCCTGGGTGGTTTTGCCGTGTTAAGAGTGAAAAAACTGACAATAAATGGATGATTTAATGAGGAGAATCGGTAAGAGAAGGATCCCGTTTCAAAAGGTTATTGAACTGGAGTGGAGAGTTTTCTGAACAGAGCCTGGCATAGTTCCAGTGCTGCTACCTGCCAGGAGATAACAGAATGCAGTTAAAGAAATACTGCTGTTTTTAAAGAAACACAGCAGCACAGCACCAGTATTTCAGCTTACAGAGGGGCTGATGTGTACATTAGCACCAGGAATAAGTGCTACTTCATGTAATCTCAATAGTGTTGCATTAAGAGGAGGGTTTAGAAAATACATGCGTGCTCCCCAAAGTGTTAACATCATTTTGGTGCTGTGAACACTCACAAAACCTTCAGTGGGGTGAGAATGCCAGTGAAACCACACTCTTTCCCCCAGACAGGTGAGATTAACTAAAACCCAAAAGGGTGCAGTCCTTCTAGTTCCTGTTTCTACATGCCACATTCCTAGGTGCAGAGATTCCTCAGTCTGCCAGTTACTTCTTTACTGTGTACAGTCACACCAGCAAAAATAGCCTATAGAGTATTTTAAGCACCTGCTCTGGAAAATCAGGAAGCTTCAGTAAGAAGGCATTGAAATGATTTTGAATGCAAGCGATTGTAATACCCTTGATCAAGATGGCTACTGGGAGAAGACACCATCTTTTTCTTTACTGGCAGTCTAACTACTTACAGATACATTTCTTAAAAAACCCAAACAAACAGCAAAACAAACCCCCCAAACCCCCCATATATATGCTCTCTGGTCTCTGCATACAAATGACAAACTTCGTCTTTCTGCATCCAGTTCCTCCCATCCCAGTCCGCTCTATACACATCCATGACAGATACATTTTGTAGTTCTTCATTTGCTGTAGCGGTTTTACAGCCAGCGTTCTGGGGAACAGCCCCAGGCCTTCAGCCCTTGTGTCTGCCGCAGGAAATCCTGTGAGGCACTTTGGCATTTCCTAGGGTGATGTTAAACCTTGCCCAATCTGCAAGTAGTGTGTAGCAGGAACTGGTCTACCGCAAGTGCCAAGACCTGCAGGGACTTGGGCACAGCAGTTGTCAGTGCAACAGTGGAGCCCTACCACAGTCTGGGCTGGATTGGTGAAGTTGTAGGAACAGGGTTAAGGGAGGGGATGTTCTTTTTTCTCCACATTTCAGAACCTGTGAGACCACATCTGGAGTGCTGTATCAGGTGGAAGGCAGGAGAAAGTAAATATCAGAGTTTCATTTCTGTTCAGCCACTGCTTTAAAAAATCGGTCTGACTTTTGTGAGCCCTTATATAGGTCACTGGGAAGGGTGATGAAAATATTCAGGTAAAAGAGAATGTCTTGCAACATGCTCTCTAAATGTTTCATTGAGGAAGTATTGAAGCATGTAGCAAGACTTCTCAGCTAAAACCTTGACTGGCCTTCATCCTGGTCTTAAATGATCTCTTAAAAGTTAGTGTTGCTGGAACATATGAAGCTACACTATGATGGCACACCAGAGACATCTGTTGCAAGAGAGCATTTCTGACATATAGGATTTATTTTTATACACATACATATAGCAGTGCCAAAAATTAACTGAAAACGCAATTTTATGTATGGGAAAAATTAGAACTATATGAAGAATTATAAAAAAAATATGTATGATCTGTTGCAGTATTCAAACTGATTTAGTGGTTTCTTTTTACTGGGGGAGGGGAAGGGCAAAGTGCTAGTTTAATTATCTGAATGTTAAAAACATAGCTAAAAAGGTCTTTTGTGCAATAAATAAACCTTTTCTAATTTAATTACTTTAGCACTGTGAAAGAATGCTTTCTCCCCTGCCCCAGGCAACTTCTTTTAAGTCAGGACCTCAGTAACTAAAATATATGTTCTCTTTTTACAGTATATTCACTCGTCAGGCATAATTCACAGGGTAAGTGGAAACAATATAAAAGATGTTTACATTTTGATAATGTGAGAGCTGTTTGTGAATAAGCATGCTCATAAATGTGCCTGAAACTCTGTTTATAGTGTCTGGGTTTGATGATGCCTTTGGTTTCTTCTTCAGTAGGAACAAAAGGTGGTATGGTTGCATCAGTTTAAGCTGGGCACTCAAGTTGCACTGAATGCAGCTTAGATTTGGCTTCCTTAAATTACCTTGTGAAGCTGCATTGTCCCCACAGGAACAAATAGTGTCTAAGCTAAGATGGTTAAGTGTTTTTGTTTTTTTTTATGAAGATTAAACTTTTAAAAACAATATATAAATGTTGTTTAAAAATTATATTAATATTCAAGGAAGTCCACTTAAAGTCACTTTGGTACTGTGAATAAGAAGTTCTGAATCATCGCCTCCTGGTTCTAAGCAGCATAACTTCCCCCAAAACTGTATCACAGCAGTAGAAACTGACCTTTTGTACTGAGGTACCAGGAGCAGCACAGAAAGTGCACACCATCTAAAGATGGGCGCTTTAAGCTGGACATGGAAGCTACGCAAACTGCCAAAATAATGTAATAAGTTGATATTCTTGTTTCTACAACCGCTGTGGTCATGGCCTGAATTTACAGTTGCTGAGACCTTTTCTAAGCAACTTCTTGTTGGCTCTTAAGTTTCTTGATTTCATAACATTTCTTTGTACCAATTTGCTTCTCTTCAAGGCCCCTCTAATCTTAAAACATCTTCATGTAAAACAGGTGGATGCCTGCTAAAAAGTTCAGAAAGAAGATTCTTTTAAATGTCTTGTGCCAAAGCGTGTCAAAGGTTTTAAAAAGCTGAAAGTTGGTTTCTGATTTTTTTTCTTTCTTTCTTTCTCTGTAGCTGAATGTCTAAAAGTCACTGGCATTGCAAAATCTTCTTAGCTGTTGCCAGTACGCTTCCCTTTGCTGCTAAACTTAGAAGTACAACTTCTGAAGATCATTAGGAGTGTCTGCAGTAGCTAAAGAGGCTTAAGGGAATTCTTTTTCCATGTTGGAGTCTCCATTCAATTGCCTTTGTTAGGAAATCAATTTTCCCACAGAAGGGAACAGAGGCTTTTAAGTAGAATCTTGCTTGATTCCTTCAGTACTTCTAAATCTGTCAGTGTGGAACCTTTGTAAAGTGTATTTTGATATGCAATATGTACAGTACAGAAAAGTTGATGTGAATCCTTAACTTTGTGGTGTCAGAATAAAATGCCACCAACTTACATCCAAACCCCATTCGCAGGAAGATGAGCGAGTTCCTTCACTGGCAACTATTTTCCTGACTTCTAGCAGAAAAAAAGTTGATTTGTTGGGAGGTGCGGGGACCCGTACTGGAAAAAACCCAAACATAAGCAAGTTTGTGTCTTTGTTTCTGTTATTTGTTATATTTAATGTTCTCATTTAGATTTATGACATTATTTTACCTGTTGCTGTTCTAAGTAGTTGTATGAAAGCTGTTAAACCTAAATGAAAGAAAGAAGGAAAGAATGAGTGCTTCATTGGACTTGGTGTAAAATCAACAAATAACATCCATTTCAAATCTGATTACAGGATCTAAAGCCTGGAAACCTGGCAGTAAATGAAGACTGTGAATTGAAGGTAGGATATGTTTATTTGAAAAAGCAGTCAGACGTGTTTGGAAATACACCACAGAAGACAAGGGGTGCAAGAGCTGCAGATGTGCTGGCTGGTCTCAGTGGAGGGCCAGGCTTTCAGCCCTTGGGCTTTGAGGGGTCATGAAGAAATAGGGGAATGGTGGAAAATGAAAGGGAAGAGGAAAAAAATTACAAGCCACTGCTCCTTGGAAGTATTTTCACATTTGTTTGACTTCACTCACCACAAGAATAATGAAATATCTATTTAAGATACAAAGCCCTGAACAGTACAGATCTCTTCACCTCCTATTTGGATGTCCTTGACTGATATAAATGTGCATTTCCTATGAACGGCAGAGGCAATGATCAATTTCTGAGACCATTATGGATCCAAGCACAAGAAATGGCTGCACCTCAAACTAGAAATCTTGTCTGGGATGTTTCAGCTAAAAATGTCTAGTCCAGACAGGACACTGCGGGAAGGTGGTACCCAATGCTAACAGGGGAGAGATGGGGGTTGACTCCAAGACGTAGTTGGTTTCAGGTGAGGAAGTCAGTGCTGTGGGTTATTACAGTCATGGCATCATTGGAGCAGTTGCTGACTTGGCTCCCTCCAGCTGGGTGAAGGAAAGTGTAAGAACTGAAACTGCTTCTGTGGGTTTGGAGTTGATGGAGCAGTCCTTACCACAGCTGTATGCCCAGAACAGGGGCATGTGTGTGCCACTCCCCCTTTTCCTGTGTGGTGTGTATGTTGCAATGAATACTAATGTGTTTTTATACAGTCATACATCTAAAAATACTTTTAAAGAAAAAAAAATCACATCATGGTTACAGTCAGATAAAGAGCTGTAATGGAGAACTCTTGTTATGATATGTTGCGGCTAATTTCTTCAGAGAAGCATGAGATGAATCACATAATGCTCACCACGAATAAGAACATCTTACTGCTTTGAAAGTGATTGCTTCTGCACTGTTACCGCTAATAGTAGTATCAACTGCATGTAGACAACAGTGTATTTCATAGCAGGAATCATAGAATTCATCAATTCTGCTTCATTTTTGTTCATAATTGAAGTAGTGAGGAAAAAAGTCGGTTAAGTGAGACAGTTCTTAATTCAGCCTCCTATAGTTCAGCTAATGGCAGTTTCTGCCACTACACTGCAAGGCAGGTAGATTCGATGACATTTTTTGTATTACCCTGTTGCTGCCTCTCTGGAGTGGGACAGACAAGTATCAGCGTGTACTGGGCTTCCCTCCAGAGATGGGCAGGAGGATGGTGCAGACCCGCACCCCTTCCCAGTACCGAAGCTGGGTGTAGCTGGCATGCACCCTTGGAGACCAGGGCTGTAGCACCCCTCGTGGAAAGTTACCAGTCCTCAAGGGCAGGTGTTGCCACTTCCTTGGAAATGTTCTCTGTACTGTCTGAGTGGTAATTCTCCTCTTACACAACATGTGTCATCTCAAGCATCCTTCTTAATCATTGAACTGAAATACTGAATCTGGCCAACCCTGATTGCACTTTCTTAAATGGAAATCTTCCAAAGCCCGTTAGAGTGGATAATATTTGTACTTCAGAAATCATTATGCAGTGTACCCTCAGCTAGCAAAAATGCATCTATTTGGCTGTGTGAAATGACTTTGTTATTAAAAAAGTCAATTATTTATTATGAAGCAGGATTATGTAGTGCTCAAGAATATATTCTCTTGAGTGCAGACATAGTAGCCCCAAACTGCTTCCAGTCCCCAGTTAATTATATTATTGTATTTTAATTTTTTATTTGTCTTTATAATTGATTTTTCTCACCTGTCTTTCCTTAGCTTTAGCAGTCTGAAAGGCTACGCAGGGTTCTTCAGTGAATTACAAAATCAGGCTACATCTTCTGTCATGTGCTTGAATGACTGACCTGTACGTCCTCACAAAACGGCAGTAAATTTGAATGGGGGCTTTTATATCCTGACATGTAAATACATTTAGATCTTATGGCCAAGGGGTCCTCCCTATAAGAAGCATAAGACTTTATGGGAGTAGTTCAATTATGAATATGTTATGTGTGTGTGTATGTATACATACATATATATGTAATGTATATATTATGTATAATACAAATTTTTGCTTTTTTGGAGACTGACCTGGATGTTCAGGATCCTGCTACTTCAAGCTTTCCTTATTGTCGTGGTTTAACCCCAGCCAGACAGCTTGTTCACTCACTCCCCCCCCCTTCTTGCCCTCCCCCTACTCCTGGAGGGATGGAGAGGAGAATCGAAAAGAATGCAACTCCCACAGGTTGAGATAAGAACAGTTTAGTAACTAAGGTGTAACACAAATCACTACTGCTGCCACCAATAATAGTAATGATAAAGGAAATAACAAAGGAAGAGAATACAGCACCTCATCACCAGGCGACCAATAACTCGCCCCCCCAGCCCAACCAAGCACCGACTGATACCTCCTCCAACCCCCTCAGTCTTCTAGCCCTTCCGGGTAACTCCCAGTTACCTCATGGGCATGACGTGCTGTGGTATGGAATACCTCTTTGGTCAGTTTGGGTCAGGTGTCCTGTCTCTGCTTCCTTCCGGCTTCCCCTCCTCCACTGGCAGAGCATGAGGCCCACAAAGTCCTTGGCCAAACCCAAACATCATTGTTATCAGCTCTGTTCCCAGGCCGAAAGTCAAAACACAGCACTGCACCAGCTACCAAGAAGGAGAAAAATGACTGCTACTGCTGAACCCAGGACACTTATCTAGCATAGAAGTCCATTGCCTTTTCCTGGCTTGTAGGTGACAAAACGGTGAGTGGGTCCAGGTTGGTAGGGAAACAAAGAGAATCTATTAAAAACACTTGTACGTGTTTCTCTTTCCCACCCCCCAGCTGTGCAATTACATTTTGAGGTGCAGCCCAGGTCTGAGACATTCTTCCATACTATGATCAGTCTCCTTATTTAACACAAGTTATTCTTCGTTGCTTGGACATTTTTAAGCTTTTAGATAAACTAAGACAAATAATTCTGTACCAGAACATAATTTTGTGAAACAACAAGGAGAAAATGTAGCACTGACCTTTGGTTTTTGTTTCTTTTGACTCTCAGAGTAAGATTATTGTGTCCCTGGTTGTACAGTCAGCTCTGATAGCATACGCAGAAGAAAAGTGCAGATTTGGAACTAGGAAATACTGGTTGTCAAGAGGCAGCTCAGGTCTATAAAGAGAAAGCCAACTATAGTATGTTGAGAAGTATGCACAAAAAAAAAAAAACAACCCCAAGGCTTTAACTGGGATCTCTCTTTCACTGAAGAAGTTGAACTGGCTTCCCCACATGCAGGGGGGTGCAAGAGGAAGGGTATGAGCATGCTTTCAAAGTCAGCTTAACCTGGACGCAGGATCATGCTACCACGCTGCTAGGGATAGTGAAAGCCTTTTTCCCGGTGTCTGTGCACTCAGCAGCTTCCCTTGCATCAGCGCCAGCGGTGATGAGGCTGTAATAGGCAAGTTGGAACAGCTGCTTGAATTGGTAATTAATTAATAAGCAATCAGTTTTATTTTTCACAGCAAGCTTTCTGGCTCCCTCATCTAAAGCTCTCAGCTGCTACACAGGAGTCAGGAAAGAGACAGTGAAGGGTGCATGGGGGAAATCACTGCCCTTTCTGCAGTCTCAAAGTTAGAAGTTATTTTTGTTACTGAAGCAAGTTAGGAAAATTAAGTTTGCTGAGTAGAAAGGGAGCTTATCCTTAAGGAGCTGAGGGAATTTGCTCTCTCTTTTATAATTCCTGCGTTATGAAAAGGATTTTCAACCTTGCTCTGAAAATTGCTTTGGAAGTTCCAGCTGAAAATTTGAATATTGAAGTATAAGAATAATAGCTTTGTGTGAAGAATGTTGCTGAAGTGGTACCACATTAAGTACTAACAGGGTATGCTTGTTCCTGAGCCTTATGACTGTGTAAATGAAAAGAAATCCTGAAATTAATATATAGTGCACAAAAAATCTCAGTGACGTTTTCTGCTTTTGTAAAAAGACAAACCCAAATTGTGTTTTAGCTGTTTCCAACTCCAAGTGTCACAAGCCTTAGTATGGAAAATGCCTAAAAGGCTGTGACACAATAGATGGTACTTCATGTGGCTTTTGACCTGTTACGTAAAACTTCATTTTTTTCTTCCAGCCTGAGGAAACGTGTGCTGTATATGTAGCATAAATTTGAAAGCTGTATATAAAAGTGTATTTTGCTATTGCATATATTTTGAATCAATAAGTCTTCAGTACCTGAAGAATCAGCCATAATCAAGTGCATTTTATTAGTAAGAATAAAAATCTCTTCCTTTGCATCCTATTCCTGTTTATACATTGGTCAGCAGTTATGGGGGAAATACAGAAATGATATCTCAAGTGTGGCAATAAAGATAAACAGTGTTTTATACACTTGATCTTGAATGAAAATGTAATCTTCCTTTCTGTTAGTGCTAGAGAATGATGTAACTATCCTGAAATGTTTTCAAACGTCTAATTACACAGAGCAGTACAAAACCATCACTCTTGGTTTAGTAATGCACAGGTGCTCCTAGTAAAAACTGCCCTCTCAATATATATATATGAAGCCTGACATACATGGAAACTTGTGGCTGTTCACGCAAAGCTACGTACTCAACTATCTGTGGAAGATGATGATTTATCTTGAATAGACTTTATTTACCCAAGCCCCCTGCTTCATGTTAGAAGCATGAACTTCGTCATAAATACAAACTAACTGTTGTTCCAGGAATGGGATTTTCTTGCTGTTGACCACATCTTTTGGTACCATCTTTCAATGGTCCATACAGTGGGTTGGCGTTATTACTCTAATTTTGTGGAATCTGACAAAAGGCCGTTTTTCATCTTGCTGCTGTATCTGGAGATAAATATCTGGGAGTCTTAGAAATAAGCTGAATTGTGCATAATCCTTTAAAAGAATTGCACTGACCTTGCATTCCTTACAGAGGGTTGCTCTGCAGTTGATGCAATAGGTTGGAGAAGACTCAGTGGGACTAAATAATGGTAATTCCCTACACTGTTTCAGATTTTCAATGTGATCGATAGGAAGCTATCCCATGTATGAGTTATTCATAAAATAGAAATAATGATACCTGCTTACTTCAGAACATTGCTGGACACACTTTTGAATGATTGTGCCACCTAAGATACAACAGCAGTGATTACCATCTAAGATGAGTGCTGTTCTTTTAACCCTAACATGGGAGAGTGGTGATCCATGGCCAGGGAACTTTTTGCGTTGAATGTGTTCATCATCTTTCTAAATGGTAATTGAAGAATTTATTGTTTCCTTTACTGGTTTTACAGCTTTTAGTGTTGCTATAGGAGTATATATCTTAGAAAAAAATTGTAAAGCCCCTTGCTACTTCTGTCTTGTTTTTTAAAATGAGAACAACACACTTGAGTGAGAAAATGATGCAAAAATGAACTAATATTTACAGATTGCTCTAATTATTTTCTTTAACATACTTGTACAGTCTGTGTGAAACAGATTGGTAGTTGTCTGATTGGGCTGTTCTTTCTGCTTCCACTACAGATTCTGGATTTTGGATTGGCAAGGCACACAGACAGTGAGATGACTGGTTATGTGGTTACGAGGTGGTATAGAGCCCCAGAGGTCATACTCAACTGGATGCATTATACGCAAACAGGTCAGCATCTCTTCAGAAAAGCCATACCAGAGCTAAAGCATTCACTGAGTCAGGCAATGTATAAGCAAGTCTTTTTTTCTGAAATGAATGTGAAACTGGAGGTGGAAATGACAGTCTAATTATGCAGAATTTCCTTGTAGATAAATTGCAGGTAATTGGTGATTGTGGGTTTGGAGGCACTTTGTACATTTTGTGAGAGTAACCAGAAGTGCCAAGGTGGCTGGAAAGTAGTGATAGAAATGTATACAGATGTGACAGTCTGGTCTCTGTTCTTGTGTTCTGCACTGACTGTCATCTTCCTGCAAGGATGTGCTGGTTCTAACTCAGACAGACAGGGGAAAATGGCAGACGGGGGGAATTTAAGTAGCGCTAGGATAACCATGAAAGTTTTTGGAAGCACTGAAAATTTACTTCCCACATCCATCTGCCTGTTACTGATTCAGCATATTATCAGATTATCTCCAGTTTGCTCATTGGAAAGGCCGGAAGTTTCACTTATACTGTTCAACCTAATTGGCAAGGCATTAATTTCTTTTTAATGGGCTATAAAAGGAAATTCTACACATCATGTTTTAAATTAAACTTTATGTACATTTAAATGGACAGGTATTTAGCAATTTAATGTGATTGTTGGTCTTTTTTTCCAGTTGACATCTGGTCTGTGGGCTGTATAATGGCTGAGATGATAACAGGGAGGCCTCTGTTCAAAGGAAATGATCGTATCCTTCAGTGAATTTATGACACTAATGTAAGAACATGATGAGAAGTTCTGATGTGATACAGTAGGTCTGTTCAACTGATGAGCATAAATTGAAATTAATAGTAAAATGGCTTGCACCTTTCTCATTGATTGCTTAATGTCTGTTCCACACTTGCACATCTAACATTAAAAATTACTGAATATTTTCAGTAGAGAAAGAGAGCTGCTCTTTGAATCACATCTCAAATCATCAGGTGAAAGGTTCTGTGATGATACAAAAGGTACATTATGATTTTTTAGTGATAGATTCAATAATTTGAGAACATGCACAGAAGATTCTGCTCAGTGTATGGGCTTACATGCACATGCTAGTCCATTTCGTGCTTTTTGAGATTTTACCAAAAAGTGTTCTGTAAGTAGCATCTAGTAAAATGTTTCAGATTTACAGAAAACATCTTGCCCTGTCATTTTGTTGCTGAGGATTAAGAAAATAGTGAAGATTCAGTCATCATTCAACCTCAAGTGATACTTCATTGGCAGGAGTAGTTATGATAATTATTAGAGGACAGTATTAATAGAAGACAGCAAGAATTGCTTACTCTTTTTGTTGTTTTCCAGTCACTGCATTGCGATTTTTGCTTTATTCTCCAGTAGTGCAGAAACACACAATTTTTGCAGGGTGATTAGCTTTCTTATGGTAAAAGTCTTTGCTCCTTATTTCTGGTAATCAGATCTGGACCAACTCACAGAAATAATGAAAGTAACAGGTACACCAACTCAAGATTTTGTTCAAAAGCTGCACAGTCAAGATGTGAGTATTTGGCTTTGTCAGTTGGTTTTACATATCTTAATTTTACTTAATCCATGCTCAGTACTTAAACTGGCTGAGATAGTAGGTATTGACTATTGAAATGATCCCTGATGTCACCTTTCTGCCTTGAAGTGCTTTGCACATAGCAACTGGAGATTAAGGGGCGGGGGGGGGGGGGGGACGGGGACGGAATGGACGGACGGGCGGGCAGAAAATGGTCAGAACACTTGAAAAATCTGTAAATACTTCTGAGTTTCCAGTGCATACAATATAAGCAGTTCAGATGATGTGCTACTGCTTTTATTGGAAAATATGAATCTATTCAGAAAACTTAGTTGTTTGCAGGTGTCTGTCTTTTCTATTCGTATGTGGGTGTCCTTCTAGAATCCTTAAGCCCCTACTATAAAGAATGTAAAATTATTCAATAGATTAAGTATACAATTTAAATACTAATGAACTACTGTGTAAGAGGTTCCTGTAAACTCACTATGACATTCTTTCAAATGATGCATACATATTTATTCTAGCTAATATATTAAATATGGAGCACTAATAATTAAAGTTTTACATTATCATTTCTTAATCATAATTTTAAGTCTTGATTAAAAAAAAAACAGAGTTCTTTTTAACAAGAAGGTGAATATAATCAGGGTTTATGCCCCCCCCAGATTAATTTGTACACTGTGCTATCAAAGCATTGTTGAATTACCTATTAAGCATATAGTTAATGTTACATTATAAAGGCAGCAAAGTTCTAATTAAACACCCATGTTTCTTTTAAGGCAAAAAACTATATCAAAAGCCTCCCAAAAGTCCAGAAAAAAGATTTTTCATCCATCTTGAAGTATGCAAATCCTTTGGGTAAGACAGTTTGCATGGATATGTACTATTTGTCTTGTTCTTGTGTTTGTATTGGAGGCGGCAGCAGTATCAGTCCTATGATAGGTTATGTGATGATTCTTGTGCTTTTCTATATCTTGCTTTCCATGATTCATAACTTTGCCAAGCTTGGACTCTCCCAGTTCTCAGATGTTTCTTAGAAGTGTGAAAAAAGAAGTATTTTGTGTTTTAGACTTCAATCCAGCATCTGCTTAATGGTTTTGCTGGAGCAGCTTTCTCGGGAGTCCTGGCAGATTAAATATAAGTAATAATTTTCTCTCTGTATTGTATTTGAAATATAATTCTGAAAGACCTATCTGATCTGCAGTTGAAATGCAAGCAAATAGAAACCTGACATTTTAGTCATGGATTTAATACATCCTTAGAAACATCTGTGCACTGATAGATATAAAGAGCCAGAAGAGCATACTAAGTGTGCAAAACTGTGATGTGACCCAAGGCAACCAAAGGTCTGAGATGGGTCTGCCCAACCTGTATCTGTTCCCCAATGACCTGAACAAACAGAAAGCCAGTTCTGTTAGAATATATAGTATATTTTGAATCTTCTAAAGTATAATTGAATCTTCTAAATTTAAGAGGTTAAAATTTTATGTTCAGATACAGTAGAAATAAACAGAATTAATAAGCAGCTCTCACCCTGACTGCATGGTTAGCTCAACGACCTTCTCAACTGCAGCAAACTACACATTTCCATTTAGATTTTAGGATGTTTTTTCCTATCATCTCTGTGACCGTCTGGCTGTTTCCTGTGGAGAGAACAACAGCTCATGGTCTGGGAGAGAAGCCTGGAAAGAATCCACAATGTGTCAAGCAGGAGTTGCAGTATCTTGTCCCATGCTGCTGCCTCTTCTTTTCAGCTGCTCCACCCAACCCAGGAACATTCTTTCAAGACAGAAAAACAGAGAATAAACAAATCGTTCATCATATCTGTTTACACTAGCTCATTTTGACAGTCCAGCAATGGACCTGATCCAAAATCCACTGGAGAGGAACATAAAAGACTTTCATGGATTGTTTTGGCTGAGGTCAAAACCACACAGCAGATAAAGTCAGCATGGAAATTCTGTACGTGGACAACTGACTTGTGTAGTCAACTTCAGAGTGTAGTTGTGCTTGGCTTCAGAGGGTAGTTGCACTTGGATTTGGTCACGTACAAAGCAATTCTCATTCTCTGCAGCCAACTGTTCATTCTGCTGCTGTCGAGTTGTAATGTATCTTAGAACCACAATAGCATGGCAATGATGAAAGATACATGGGAAAGCCCAAAGCACAGTGGTCCTAGAGCCAGAAGCTGAGAAGGCATTAGCTGAGGTGATGTGGCTGTGTTGTGTGCAGAAGCAAGGGAGCACTTTTGCCTTGAGTCAGGCTTTGTACAGATCCCAGCTTGCTCACAACACTGTTTGGCCATGCAGGTGGGCCCCAAGGCTGTAGAATGAATACCCAATGATTCTGCTTTGTAACTGTGTATTTATTTGAAATATCTCCAGGGCAGTGTTACGGTGCACAAGCTGGAGTCAGTGGTGTGATTTGAATACACTGTTTATTTTCTCTGCAATAGCTGTAAACCTTTTGGAGAAGATGCTGGTGCTGGATGCAGAGAAGCGAATTACAGCAGCTGAGGCTTTGATGCACCCTTACTTTGAACCAATCCATGATCCTGAGGAAGAAATTGAAGCAGAGAAATATGACGACACGTTTGATAACATGGATCTTCCGCTAGATGAATGGAAGTGTGAGTTTAGATTTATGATGTTTTAAAAAATTACCAGATGGAAAGACCATGCAGAAATAGACCGTTAATTCCCCTTCACAAATTACCTTCTCTGCTTTTGGTGGAACAGAGTAAATAGACATCATTAAGATAAACACTATTGATAAGCCCGTGTTATTATCAAGGAATGATCCCCAAAGGTGTTTTCTCTGCCTCCTAACAAAGGCTCTCCTTTTTCCTGTGACTGTCCTCCTGTCTTCTGCAATGTAGGAATCATAGAATCATAGAAGGGTTAGGGTTGGAAAGGACCTTAAGATCATCTAGTTCCAACCCCCCTCCCATGGGCAGGGACACCTCACTCTAAACCATGTCACCCAAGGCTCTGTACAACCTGGCTTTGAACACCACCAGGGATGGAGCATTCACAACTTCCCTGGACAACCCATTCCAGTGCCTCACCATCCTTACAATAAAGAACTTCCTCCTTATATCCAGTCTAAACTTCCCCTGTTTAACTTGTTACCCCTTGTCATGTCACTACAGTCCCTAATGAAGAGTCCCTCCCCAGCATCCCTATAGGCCCCCTTCAGATACTGGAAGGCTGCTATGAGGTCTCCACGCAGCCTTCTCCAGACTGAACAGCCCCAACTTTCTCAGCCTTTCTTCATATGGGAGGTGCTCCAGTCCCCTGATCATCCTCGTGACCCTCCTCTGGACTTGTTCCAACCGTTCCATGTCTTTTTTATGTTGAGGACACCAGAACTGTACACAATACTCCAAGTGAGATCTCACGAGAGCAGAGGGCCAGGATCACCTCCTTCGACCTGCTGGTCACACTCCTTTTGATGCAGCTCAGGATACAGTTGGCTTTCTGGGCTGCAAGCGCACACTGAAGCCAGCTCATGTTAAGTTTCTCATTGACCAACACCCCCAAGTCCTTCTCCACAGGGCTGCTCTGAATCTCTTCTCTGCCCAACCTGTAGCTGTGCCTGGGATTGCTCTGACCCAGGTGTAGGACCTTGCACTTGGCATGGTTAAACTTCATAAGGTTGGCATCAGCCCACCTCACAAGCGTGTCAAGGTCCCTCTGGATGGCATTCCTTCCCTCCAGCATATCAACTGAACCACACAGCTTGGTGTTAATGGCAAACTTGCTGAGGGTGCACTCAATCCCACTGTCCATGTCACCGACAGAGGTGTTGAACAAGACCGGTCCCGACACCGATCCCTGAGGGACACCACTCGTTACTGGTCTAAATGAAACCATTTCTGTAGCATGTTCCTTCCAGTGAATAGACAGGTGAACAGATTCCTCAAGGGTTGGCTGTACGGGACTGTTGCTGTATAATGCAACAGTTGTTGGCATTAATATGAAGTTAGGTTCTCTCACGGAGAGAAAACATATCTATCTCAGCAGACACTTAACTCTGAATCTAGATTTCATCTAGTGTCAGAGGTTTGTATTTTGGCTTTTAAGTGAGGACTTGACTTTTAAAGCTGATTTGCTGAGTAGCTCTTTCTGAGGATCTTGCCCACTATACTGTAAAGTCAATGCTTGCATCCCTTTGAAAGCACCTATAACATTTCAGCATTGGACTACTTCTTCAAATCTGAAATGTTGAAAAGTTGATTCTTGATTGTCTTACTTTTTGTACTCAGATTTCTCTCTTTTTTGCCTGAAGAGGTCTCTCTCTTCCTGACCTAGACAAGAACCTAACCAGGCTGGGGGTTGCACCTTGCTCGTGTCTCCTTTTCCAATTAGACCAGCAATTCTTATGTTTATTCTGTTGTTTTCCAGGCATTACGTATAAAGAGATACTGAACTTCAAGCCACCACAGACTTTGGAGTCAAAGGAGACAGCAGTGTAATTCTATGTCTCGGTCTTTTCAGAACTCAGAAGAAAACCAGAAAGTTGTAAATGTTTGTGAGATTTCAGGTGTATAAAACTTTTATGAATAAACTGGATGTAACCTGTGTCATCTGCACTGTAAGAAAGTGCAGTGTCTTACTCTGCATGTGAAACTTGGTGCCTTTGGGAGTAGCATTTCAAAACTATCCAGAAACATTCATGCCTACAGCTTCTTTCTGCATGAAAGAATTCAAACTGTGGCAACCCAGTGCCATCCTCAAAAAAGCAGGTAGGACTAATTCTTCCACTCAAGGATCAGAAGAGTACAAGTCACCACCCAAGCAATCTGAGACACACAGTATGTCAGGGGTGCGCTGTGACTGTTCTCCAAGGCTGCTGAGCTATCCTGAATGCAAGAAGTATTCATGTGACTTTCTCTGGAATATTTCACCTTGGTAAGGTGCCTGGGGAGGCTAGTCAGCCTCTGCTACCTCAGCGAGTGCAGCAGGTAGTGGAAACAGCCCAGAGGAATGCCCATGTCCCTTGCCCTCTGTGAATGGAAGAGAACCTCAGCTCCAGCCGGTTCTGACAGATCTGGGCAAGAAGCAGAGAAGTGCGGATGTCCTAGGTGTTTTTCAAAGTAACTAGCATAGCAGGACATGACTTCACAAACACTTGGTGACCAGTCGTTGGATAAACAATGACTATCAAGGGGCACAATATTTTCCTCTAAATACAGTGCAGTCTCCTTGTATTACAGACTAGGGAACAAGGATTTCCAGGGAGAAATAAATTTTAAGACTTTCTGAAGTTTTGTAAGGTTTCCAGCTTCCTAGTATTGAAATGATCACGGAGAAAGTACCTCTTTCTCAGAGGACTTGCAGGTTATAGATTCAGCAGTGCTGATTTTAGAAGTAAAGCTGCATGCAGGTCACGTCATAGAAAATTAAATGAGGATAAAAATGCTACTCTGCAGCTGTTCATTTGGAATACCTGCAGCAAGCGGTTTTGTACACAGTGTACAGAAGTGTTGCCAGGCGCAGAATAACAACCATTCCTGGGTTTAGCCTTCTGAACTCATCTTAGAAAAGCCCTCAGACCTTCTGTCGAGAAGTGCATCACCAGGAGTCAGCTTCCTGATGGTATAGATTGGTTAGACACTTCATGAGTTCCTATTACATTTGCTATATTTTCCTAGGTGCTTAGCTCATAATAATCTCTCAGAGGTAGGACAATAAATTGGTAAACCTTTGGTGAAGAATTCCCATGTGAGATTGTTTGTCCTTGCTAAAGGTAATGTCTTTACAATTGACTATTTGGATGTGGATTATTCCCAATACAATATGCCGGTGTGTGTTGCTACTAAGTGAAACAATTGTGAAGGAAGACATTAGATCCTGGGAGGTAATAACTGGAAAATAAGTAAGAAATTACTTGGGTTATTTTTGCTTTAAAAGCCAACTTAAGCCAGAATTTTTATCAAGACACAGTTCTTTCCTTTCAATGAATGTTAAGTTGAACACCTGTAAATACTAGCATTTGTTTGCAAACTGTTTGTGATGAGCATTGATTAGCTGAGATGGGCACTTAGACTAAATGGTGACAGAAACCTTGAATTATTGATGTATATGGCAAGTCATTAAAAACAGTGTTTCAGGAACACATAAAACAAAAAGCAGAGAATGTAATTTGAAACAGAACATTTTTCTACACTACAGGACACTGAGGAAGGCACACTGAAGAGTCACACCCCATTTTGCAATATTGACTTAATGCTTGGACTACACTTCATGTTAAATAGGAAATTTAGTTTTTTACAGAACAGATGTTTTCTCTTAGGTTCATACTCTCTGGTAGTCTTAATAAATGCCAACACTTCAGTGGGTATTTTCACTTCCCCTGCCTTTAGCTTTAATGAAGTCAAGCCCTAAGACTCTCTTTTGGCTGAGGTGAGCTTTTCCCTCTCCCAGTATTGGAGAAGCAGCTAGCCCTCATGAGGAAGACATGACAAGATAATGTTAGTTTTTCTAGATAACTGGAGGAATACAGAACTCAAAACAACTGAAGAGAAGACCTTAGTGCATGTGCCAGCCAAGACAGCAGTACTGTTGTGCTGTCTCATCATCAAGCAGTCCGTAAGGTAGAATAACAAACATGGAAAGTTTGTCACATCTTGGCACTTCACTTTCTGTGAAGAGGTTGAAGTCTGCAGAAACGGCTCCAAATAACAATGGCAATTATCAGTATAAATAGCTCATTAAAAGAAATGCAAGGTGAAAGCAGAAATATTTTGCATGGGAGGCAGCTGCTGCTTCAGAAGGAGAGATGACGTTTCCTACTTTTTTTTTGCTATTTCTACTGGTGCTAAACAACTCAGGAATAAGGACCCAATTTCTGTTTGCCTTAGAGAAATGTAAATACCTTTTGCATGTACTTGAAATGTACTGTGACAAATAAAGGTTGAGGGGTTGCTTTTTACACAGCAATGGTTTTATTTTCCCATGTGTATTCCCAGATGCATCATCACTCCTGAAAATATTATTTTCAGTATGAGGGAACTGCATGAAACATAATACTGTAGGTACAGTTCATGTGATATGAGATGCTCCTGGAGTTTATTTGGGAAGTCAGGCCACAGATGTGAACCTTTCTCCCATTTTCCAGATTTCAATTCAGCCACAGAACTGTTCTGATTGTACTCCTGCCACCTAATGTATTTGTTACAGCATCTTGGATTTTACCAGACATCCCTGCTTTGTCCTGAAGGGCAGGATTTCAGCCCTTAAATGCAGTTGCAGTCCTCAGCCTGATTTTAAAAGCCAAAGCCAGACTGACAGTCATCAAGTATTTGTAACTTGGAGTTGAACATGGTGAGTTAACAGAGTTCTAGTAGGATATATGGGACCTTTGCCCTGAAAACCTACGTGCCCACTGACTGAGCAAGATTGTCCCCATTTGAAATGGTATTCATTGCACTGAAGACTCATCACTGATGTTGAATTTTGGTAATATGGTGGTGTGTACCAGAAGTGGCATACAGTTTCCCTTCTTGATTATTTGGGGTTTTATCTTGGGTTTTTACAGGATAACACTGAGGTGAGTGCTAGTATGTGTCCTGCAAAATGTCTTCAGAAGATGCACTTTGTTCTTGATCTGGAACTACCAGGTATATGAGCTGGGTGGGATTCTTTGAGCTTTCTACTTTCCGATATGCTGTTCACATACATACAGCAGGTGCTTCTGATCTACTTCAGCTAAGGTTGTCAGAGAACAAGGCATCTGTTAGATGCTGTCATTCATTGGATCTCGGTACGAAATACTCCTACAGGGCATTAGATGGTCCCTAAAGATACCGCGGGAAGAATAGAGGCTTGTAACACCTGCCATGTCTGCTGATTAATTCTCCATCTCCTCAGTACACTGTAGGGCAACTAGTTGTGTAAGCCAGGTAATATCAGAAGCAGTTTCATGGACTACAGCACTCAAAATCTAAGAATTCAGAAGCCTGAGCTGGAGAAAGATCAAGGGAGGAGGTTTGCATCAGGCAGGCACTCTGAAACCCCATGGACCACCAGTTAATGAGCAGCTCTTGTGCACAAGTTACTTGCAGCCCTCTGCGATAGTACCATACTATGATGATCTAAAAACTGCATTGCCACCTACCAACCACATAGGCACGGGAATGGTGCATGCTTTTTAGCTACAAGGAACAGCATCCGTCTGCAAGGAGGTAAATGGGACAACGACAGTAAGTTAAGGATTCGTGATTTTTGAATGCCATTATCCTGCTTTGCAAATAGAGCTCCTTCATACTTAACCTCATTATATTTCCATGCTGGAGTTTTCTAGTTTTCTAGTTCACCCCAAGTGAAGCACTCCACTGCTTCATGAGTAAGCAATGAGGTGCATTCCCCAGCTACGTTTGAGTGATCCAGGCATGCAACTTTTGTGATCTTCACTGAAGTATTTGAATGTGCTGTTATCTTTGAGAGGAAAAGAGGCAACTGTGAAGCAACCAAATGAAATGTAGTGAAAGAAATTGCTCAGGTCCATTTGAGAATGCTCTCTCTTTTACAGTGTGGTGTCCTGGGAGCATGTGCTTGCAGGGAGCAGGAAATGTCTCTTGCTGTGTTTGCATGGTGCCTGCAGCTATGAGGCCTCACCTGAGTAACAGTCGTGATACTGACAACCAAAGACAGCTACCGCATCCAATTCAGTCTGACATTAATGGGAAATTCATTATTATTATTATAACAGTAATATTATTGTGGGTTATAACAGTAAAATTACAGTGCTCAGACAGGCATTCAGGCCCCTGGGGGCTGGGGCCAAGACAGCTTTTTTCCAGGTACTTTAAGAGCCCCATTTGTACATGACAAGTGGTCCTGCTGCCAGGTAGTGCCACTTTGGCAGGTGTCCAACCACTTTGCCATTCCTAGGAATCTCCTTCCGGTTTTGGGTTTGAGTCAAGGTTGAATTTCCTTTTTCACAGGAACATTAGTGCGCTGCTGGAAGGAGAGAAAATATGGCCAAGAAGTGTAACCAGAAAAACATTAACGGAAGTTTTCTCTGAAGCGAGCCCATTTCAAGATCTAGGATAACATTATCAAGTAAAGGTCAGTCACAAGGAATCAAAATTGCTACTCGGGAAGAGTCCTGAACCATGGCTGGAGTAACCAAGTATTTTTGGTTAGAGTTTGAACTCTTAAGAAGAATCCCAAGAAGACTTTCAGTTTAATGCAGAAAATTAACCTAGTATAAGCTTTGAATAAAGAGGAAGTATGACGGGTGCACAAAAGTCCGCTACTCCTGAAGCAGGGCTCCTCAACATTTGCATATTGATGAAGGAAGCACAACACTGCAGGGAACTTCCATGGAAAGCATCCTTCAGAGGTGTAGGTTCAGCTAGAAATACATGTGTTGCTCCATCTTGTTGAACAAGATGATCAAATCAGGCATATGTTTGAGTCCATTTGAATGATTACATTAAATGTAAGGTGTCTTCAGTGAGTGTGTTAGCTAGGGTTCTTCATTCTGGATTTCCAGGCAAAAATGTAGCCCCAGGGAGATCCATCTCAGGGGCTCATCATAGTCCAAAGAGTCTCAATCTCTTCATATCATTACTGCTGTCAGCACAGTTTACCTAGGTGATTACGAGTTCCTTGTGTGTTTGTCTTATCACAGAGGTTTATGTTATTTTTCTTCATGTGGTACCTTCTTCATTGAGGGCAATGACTAAGTCTTCCCTAGGAATGTGTTAGGATGTTTTTACCGGATGAGATTATAGCTCCTGCCCCCAAGCTCTTGAAGAAGGGGGCAACAATGTGATCACTACAAGGCAGAGTGTAGAGCACGAAAGCACCTGTGTCATGGTTGTGGTATCTGAAATGGTTTGCTGTAGATGCTATAGATCCCTCTCCCCGCATCTAGCAAAGCTGCCTTTGACTGTTCCTTGTGTTCTGGCTTTTTGACTGAGACCCAGTCCCTTCTGCAGCTGGGAGTGCTCTAGGCTTGCACATGCAAGCCTGTGGGAGCTCTGTTGGACACGTGGGCTCTGCACTAGGAAAGTCACCAGGGCCGGGAGTGTTTCCAGGTGCTGACCTGCCTGCTCTGTTAAATCACTAACACAGCTATGGCCTAAGGCAGCTGCAGTCTTCCTGCAACTCCCCAAGCACAGCTGAAGAGCTGGCAGGGGTCAGATGATGTTCCTAAGGGCAGTGGGATGCCATCAGCCAGCTTCAGAGAGCAAGAGACTTTCCTAGCACGGGGTTGGGCAGTTTCTTGCCAGCTGGAGTTCTCAGATTCAGCAAACTGCTCCAAGCATGGTTGATTTACTAGCACAGACATGGGTGCAGAGCCAGCAGTGGCTGGAAAATCGGGCTCACCCCAAAGTGATGGGTGTGCATATTGTAATGTCTCTGTGCTGTTGTCCTCTGGCCATAAGATGATACAAACACAGCGTTTGTGCAGTAGCTATTTAGGAAAGCATGATGCTGAGCTCTGTTGTACGGGTTGTGGGAGCATCCCTGGGGGCTCCCAGAGGTTTGGCTGCCAGGTCTGGGAGCCAGCTCTGAGCTGGTGCAGCCACAGGCAGCCCCTTCCCCATGGAGACCCTAGGGGGAGGCTCCCAGACACTGCAGGGCCAAACCCTGGCCAGGGTAGCTGCTCCCTGCTGAAGCTCCTGCCTTGCCCCTGCCTGAGCTGCAGCTATACATGGCTCTCTGCCAGGCCAGTGAGCCCACAGAGCCACCACCACCTGCGGGCTGATGTCCCAGCCTGGCCTGTCCCCATCCCTGGGAATACACACACACCCGGGGCTGTGGCTGTCCCTGGCTGCCCCCCACCTTCTGCCCTGACCTAAATATGGTGGTTTACTTTAAATTAAGGTCAAGTTGAAACGATTTATTGGCAGTGCTCCAAAATAAAATGGAATCAGTACATATTTTCACTGCCATTTGGCAAATCTACTGTAAGTCAGTGATTCCGTGTTTGTTATTAACAGGATTTGGACTAAATAAGCGTCCATAACATGATCTGCCCTAATGAAGTTTTTCATACATGATGCATTTGTGGCAAAGGTAATGATGAGATAGGAAATAAAGTAACTTCAAGAGAG